TTCGGCATCGCCAGGCGCCGGGGGAGGCCGAGCCCGGTGGGTGCAGGTTTCCTCCCCGAACAATGCCTCGGCCCCGCATCGCTCCCTCCCATAAACATCTGGTTTCCTTATCTCCCCTCCGAGCCCCCCGGCCTGCCCCGGGGGCTGCCGCAGCCCGGGCTCTGCCCCCGCGGGAACGGGGACTCCCCGGGGAGGAGGAGGAGGAGGGGGCAGCGGGATGGCCCCGCGGCAGCGGCCGCTCCTCCCGGGTGGATGTTTGGCTCCTGAAGTCATCTCTGCAGGGACCTGACATCAGCGCGGCTCCGGTGGCCGCCCAGCACCGCCCGCCGCCGGCCCCGGTGCCGCCGAGGCGAGCCCGCGGGACGCCGCGGTGATGGGCTCCGGCGGGACCGGCGTTTGGGGCGGGCAGAGCTTCCTGCCGTCCCCGGGCTCGCTTCCTCCGGCAGGAACAGCCCCGCGCCAGCGGCGGAGCAGCCCCGGCGGCGGGACGGAACACCTCGCTCACCCCGACACCGGGGCACAGCATCCTCCCTGCCTGAGGAAGAGGAGCAGCAGCTCCCCTCGCCCCACCGTGCCCAGGCTGGTGCCCCCCGGGTGGCTGGCAAAGGGGGTGATGCCCAGCTTCCCGCCCTGGGAGCCATAGGATGGGTGGCCCCGGCAGCCCCGACCTCACCGGGATGCTCAGAGGCCACGGCTCAGCGAGACGCTGCCCACGCAATTCCCTCCCTGTCTCTTCCACAGACCCCGCAGGTGCCAGCCCCAGCACTGCCCGACACTTTACAACATCCCTTCCAAATTCCAAACTTGTTCGCTGCGACAATAAAGATAAATGAAGGCTCATCACCCGCCCCCCAACTCCAGGGATGCACTCTCAGCTGGGAAAAGGTGCCACCAGGAAAAGGCTGGGGAGCCCACGGGGGGACTCAGGTCAGACGTGTGTTGCCTCCACAGCATCCTCCTTCCCCATCCCACTTTCCTGGCCTGGCACAGCCAGGGCGAGTGGGGCAGAGCCTCATGTCCTGGTGCATGTCCCGTTCCCAGTGCATCCCGGGTGAAACTGCACCAAAACCCACCCTGGGGGCAAAGGGGGAGCGGGGCTCAGAGTGGGACCTGCTCCTCCACCCGCACCGAGCTCAGGCAAAGCAAACCCCATCCCATTCCCTCCCCGGCACCCCCGGACACCCCCTGTCTCTCCCACCCCAGCAGCCAGGGCAGCCCAGACGTGGGACCCAGCAGGACACGGAGCTACAGCCTGTGCGAGACCCAGAGAGCCCCAGAAAAAGGAGGAAAAAAATTATATCTCATCCCAAAGCATCACGCTGCACCCCACAGCCACGCACTTGGGAAGTGGGGTGCCCCCCCAGCAGCCCAGCGGCTTTCCACACCCGTGTCAGGTCCCAGTCCGATTGCTGGTCCAGGGGGGGGTTTGTAACGATTCCGAGGAGACATCCGTGTCCCTCCTCACCCGCAGGGCACCCACGGGATGGGCAAGTGCCAGCCGTGGGGCAGGACCACCCTGGCACCCCCTGCGGAAGCGGCCCTGCCCTCGCCTCGGCTTCCCAGGGTGGAGCAGGATCCGCACTGAGGGCTGGCAGCCCTTCCTGGCCCTGTGTGGGGCTGCGGGGGGGGCACCAGGCACAGCTAGCCCCCCTGCCAGCACGGACCCCTTGGTGCTGGGCAGCAGGGCAGGGATGGGGACATCCCGGTGGTGCCCAGCCCCAATCCCGCAGCATCCTCTGCAGGGTCAGGGGATGGGGAAGGGGGATGTGGGGAGCAGCCAGTGGCCGTGCCAGGGCATCCCACTGCTGCCCACTCCCTGCCCATGCAAACAGGGGCCAGTCACCCGCTGGGGAGTGGGATGGGACACAGAAGGGGAGATAAAATGAGAACCCAACGCTCCCCTCGGCCCTGATCCCCCCAGGTGAACCCTGGGGCTGCCGAGCCCCACCACAGCAACCAGCAAAGCTATGGAAAGCAAAATACAAGAGTTTCTGGGTGGAAAGGAGCCCACGTACCAAAGGGCACAGCACAGGCCGGGGAGGTGTTACACCAACACAGCTGCCAACAGCGACAGCCCCATGGTGGGCAGGAGCGTGTCCCCCCAGGACCCCCACCACCGCCGTGGGGAGATGGCAGCGATGCCCGGGGAGGTGTGGGCCCGGCTGCCCCCGTCCCGGTGAGCCATAAAGCCTTACTCACCACCTCTTATCTCCCCGCGCCCGCACGCTCCTGGGATTTTATCCCGGGCACTTCCGTGGGCGGCCGAGCCCTTTTGGCTCCCGGAGCTTTAGGAGCCCTCGGGGATGTTGCTCTCCCTCGAAATTCCCAGTGACCCCAGCCTGGAACTGGGCACCAAGCCCCGGGAGTCCGGCCAGACAGAGCCCCCTGCAGCCCTCCTGGTTGGGGGGGGGGGATAGCAGCCCCCCCAGACCACCTGTAGGGGGGAAAAGCCCCCAGGTGCACCACAGGAAGGGTCATGAGGCCACGGAGGGGGGGGGACCTGCAGCACGGCAAGGTCCTGTGGAGGGTGGCAGTGGGTGGGCAGCAGTTTGGGGAGGGATGGTGTGACCCCCCCCCAGCACACCCAGAGATCGGGGGAATTTGGCCAAACGCGATGGCAGCTCCGGGGTGTCACGGCCGGACCCCGCCGAGCTCCCCCGCAGGAGGTGACCCCACGACCCCCGAGCGCGGGGACCCCCCAGCCCCGGCCGGGGGGGGCTGAGCTTTCCGCCGAGGCGGCTCCGGTTCTCCGCAGGCCGCCGGGGGGGGAAGCGGGACCCAGCCCTCGTCCCGCTCCGTTTCCCGGCTTCCGGCGCCGCTCGCAGCCCTCGCACACCGACATTAACCCCTCCGGCTCCCGC